TTAGATGGCATTTAACAACTAAAACAGATAGTATGATTAGAAAATAGAGTGGAGAAGGTTGGATTTATTTTACCTCAGTGTGTTAGAATTTCTATAGGTAATGCGTCCCGAGACCTGGACTCTCTCTCTCTCTCTCTGCCTGTCAGACTGCTACGACCCCTTTCAGACAAAAGACCTCACTACAGGAGACTCCTCCTCCTGCTCCATCGAACAGACAGAGAACCAGAGCTGAACCAACAACGACAAGACTGCATCCAGAACCATCTCCACCTGAGGCATCCAGAACCAGAACAGCATGCTGACATAAAGAGGCATACTCTCATCAGTCCCTCAGACAGGACATGAAGTTCCAAGCTGAGCCACGAGATATGGCACAAGAGCAGAGTGTGGGACATGAAAGCAGAATACGCCCTCCATACAACAGCGAAGAGACTGTAAAGAAGGAGATGAAATGCAAAGCAGTTGGGCCACTGAAAAGAGTAACCGCGGAATGATTCAAGAGCTGATGGACTGAGGAGAAGACAGAACCAGAGGAGAAGACAGAACCAGAGAAGTTGGAAGGTCTAACAGAATGTGAGGGGGTCGTGGCTTGAGACAACAAGAGGAGGAGAAAAAGGAAAACGGGAGTGAGTGAGTTTATACATAAACACACTTATTCACAAACAAACTTGAATTGATTTGATAAATGCGAAAAGACAAAAAGATTTATTAGCCACGAATTAATAAATTGGTAAATTAAAATAGTAATAAAGAGGAAACTGTTAAAGTAAAATGAGGAATTAATCCTAAAACACACTGAGGGTACTGTGAGATAAAGGGGTAGACATGATGGACATATTCACCACACTTTACACTTTAAGCAGTGAGTGTTTTGGGACTTAGGAGTACAGAGTAGAACATATTTTTCAATCTTTCCATCATGTAAACGAATTATTCCCTAAGACATTTTATTCATGGGTGAATTTGGTAGAGATCTAATGTGTTACAATATTGATCTACAGCTAAAGGGATAGTTTTAGTGACCACTCTATAAGAGTAGACAAATCTGTGTTTGTTGGACGATGTTAAAGGGAGAGCTAGTACCAAGCCAAATATAGTATTCCAATCTAAAGTATTGATTTCACCATTGTAGCATAGTTATTACCATAGGAGAACCAGTGGAAATAACACCAGTTTGTCGTCTAAGATGGAGAGTTGTAAAAGACACTGGGCAAAGAGCGATTGCAAATTTAATTTTGGAAAAAGCAATATAATTGGGAGTAATACATGCGGGGCCTTGGATCACTCATTGCAATGGTGCATATTTTTGACAACCCATATCGTTTAGGCAGTTGTTTTAAATCTTACTTGCAGCTTCACAGGGAGCGCACGGCACCAAATTATGAGTTTAAAGGACAAGCGCCACCACCTCCTAATGGTCATCCATTTAATCAGTGATGACCTGAAATTTAGAGATGTTATTTAAAGTAGAAACATATCCGCTATAAGTGAAAATTCCTAAATTGAACTACAAACCATTGATGAAATAACTTTCTGTTAACTGTTTTTAAAATCCTTGATAAAGGAGGGAGTAACTGTTACATGCTCGGACACCTAAGGTTCCACACACTGTTAAAGGGTTTAGCATAGTTCTTTAAGCAGACCAGAATTGAAGATAAATTAGTATAATGAGTATTTGATATTCCACCGGTTTTCACACCATTTAAGGAACTTTATCACTGCATTAGAACAGACCACCCGAAGGTACTGAAGTAGGAACTTTTAAGTGATGAAATTCTCCAATTGTTGTAACTGACCAAAATCTTCTCCCAGAAATGACTGTCTGAAATGCCGTATCCCAGAGTAGATGTTTGATGGTATCATGGAACTAAAACCTTGTACGCAGTCTTGCCACAGGATTGGACTGGGACCTGTGCACTTGTACAGCCAGTGATGTTTTATATGCAGTACCAATGACAGTGGGGCAGTTAATCAACATGGCGAAACACCCCAAAACCAGTAGGGCTAAGAGACCAGTCAAAGGAGCGAGTTTAGGCTCCACAGTGTACAAGGATAACATAGGGGTGCCCAGGGGAGTGCTAGATGTTGTAGTTGCATTCCATGTACCCTAACGTACCGATTGATCACCACGGCCTTTTCTAGAGAACATATTACTTTCATACTTTAAAAAGTATGAAAGGGGGGAGGGTACATTTCTCATAAGGGAACAGTTTCAATTGCTAGCAGAACAAGACGACCCAACCCATATACAGATATTGATGAAGATGATGACAGTGTGTAAATGATGTTAAATTATATGGATGATAAATGATGAGATTGTTCAAAGAATGTCCAAATCATGTGATATTTCAAATGATGAAATCATTAGAATGAAGAACCAGCTACAAAGTGGTATTACTTTGCACTATTCTAAAATAGTTTCCTTCTTTTATGTTTTATACTGTTATTAGTGATGCGATTTTTAAATAGTATGTTTTTTATACTTTGTAAAACAAGTCCCTTAACACTGAATGTGGTATGGGAACGGTTTCTGTGAAAGGAGGGAGTAAGAAATGTTCTAATACCACAAGTTGCTGCTATTTTAAAAGTGATATTGAATGATTAAAACTAGAAGTTATGCACAAGGGAAAACTTTTATGTTTGAAGACCAGCCAAAGTATTTTTTGTATTTTTGATGATGGTTATTTAAACCATTCTATTCTGATTGTATGTTTTTGATATGAGTTATGTACTATGCAAAGTTCAGATGAAGAACTCATTAATTTCAGTATTGTGTTCACACCTTAAAAGGTGTGAAAGGAGGGATTGTTAGAAATTAAAATCAATGTTTAATAGCATAATTTAGTCTAAAACATATCGTCAGTTGAAAAGCTGTTTTATTGTGAAAAAACCGGGAAGTTCTCATGAAATCTCAATGCCAAGCTTTTATTCTGAAAATCCTTCATATCCGGTTAGTAGTTAGTAGTTAGCATGTGGCTAATATCACGTTTTCTGAATGAAGTGAAAATGACATGGAGTGTTGCACACCAAAACCTACGGACTTTAACACTACATCTATAGACGTCGAGATATTATTACTGCTGAATATTAAATGAAGGTACAGTTGATCGTAAAGTGTTTTCACATACGTGGGTAGCTATGACGTCAGAAGGAGTTACCGTAAATGAGAACTGTGCCGTAAAAGTGTTTCTAGGATTTCTAAACTAACTATTACTGCTGTTTATAAAGTATTAAATAAAAAGTAATGAAAGAGATAAGGAGGAGAAAAGGCTTAAGGAAGTAAGCAAGGAATACAAAATGTCGAAATCCTTTGTTTCACGCGATGTCGAACATTGAAGACGAGGAGGGCGGTCCCCCTATCTGCACAGCGGGAGAGAACGAGAAAAGTATAAAGGTGATCGGAAAGGACAACACGGCCTCTTTTTCTACGCTGCAGCCTCCCGAGAGACATCACCGGCTTTGTCTCTTCCTTACCTATGCTTGTTCTTTAACCACGTTACTTAATTAAAGTACCAATTTGAACCTTTTCAGAGACTCCATTAGTCTCATTATTTTAAGTTTCTTTCCTGGGAGCGAGAAGATCACGATTCATCAATGGCAGAACTTTATTGAGGCCTGTAATTAGTCGACTACAGGTATCTTGGGTCAAGTCTGCGTTTAAATCGTGTGTGTGTGTGTGTGTGTAGAGGTGTGTGTGGTTAAAATACATCAGCCTGCGGTCGCTCTTTAGCCTTTCTAATGATTCTATCTGAAGGTAAACACAGTGAAGGCGGTGCGTGAAAGGCGGTGCGTGAAAGGCACTGCACGCTCCTCTTCTCAGAGGCTGAGTTAACCCTCCCGCTACCTCCTGGTGCCGCAGAGATTTCATGAAGTGAAGGAGGTTTTCCTTCTATAAAACAGCTGTAGGCAGCAGATACTGTGAGTGTCACGGACATGAATTCATAGATCAAGGCAGACTGGTGCACAGTGCACACTCTCCTGTTTTCCCAATCCGGTGCTTAAACAAATATAGCTCTTCACCCCTGGCCGAAATGTCCTTAAAATGAAGTCCGAGTACGACATTTTAATTCATGTCCTGCCAACACTGGCAGGACAGAAGGCGACACGCCCGTTCTAAGCCGTGTTTCAAAAAGTGTATTATGTTGTTACATCGTTTCAGATGTTATGTTTCAGTTGTGCTCTTGATAAGCCATTAAAACAGTAAAAACACATTCAGTTTCCTTTTGCTTTTTGTGTCTCCTGTACACCAAAACATACCCATCTGTGATGGAAAAAGAAAGTAATCCAAAAGTAATCTAAAAGTAATCTGATTAAGTTACTTTTTTAAGACACGTAACTGTAACTGTATTCGGATTACTTTCAGAGCCATGTATTCAGTAATCAGTAACTGATTACATTTACAAAGTAACCCTCCCAACCCTGTTCATATCGCAATATATTCCAGAAGTCTGAAATGCAAAAAAATGTCCCACATTAGGGCAATTCACCCTACTTAACCCCAAATAAAAGAACCCAATAAAAAGAGTTGTTAAATAATAGTGAAGTCACGTTGTAATAACAATAACTCATCTCTCGGTTTGAGTGTTCTTTTTCTGCTTTGCCAAAAGCCACTGTGTCAAGTGTCTAGTGACTATTTCTCTTAGCGGATGCATGTCAATTTAAATCAATACATACAACTATTTTTTAAATCAATAAAAACATTTTCTAAATCCATAAAAGCATTTCAATTAATATTGGGAGTCATGTCGTTACTTTGTTGAGAATGTGGCCATGTAATAAGCGGGATAATTTGCAGCGACTTGGTCATATTTGACTAACTCTCTTGATCGAGGGCAGACCCCGTGCCGACCACGGCCCTCGCGTTTCAAACTGTCCTAAATGAGGTGCTACATCTGTAGGAAAGTCTCACCTGGAGAGGGGGGGCTCAGGTAGTACTCACCTGGAGAGGGGGGCGTTCAGGTAGGACTCACCTGGAGAGGGGGGGTTCAGGAAGGACTCACCTGGAGAGGGGGGGCTCAGGTAGCGGTCGGCCCAGCAGTTGGTTGAGGTGCAGGCTGGACTTCAGGCAGGACTGCCACTGGTTCAGAGAGTGAGACACCTGCACGTCCAGCTTCTGTCTGGGGGGGGGCAGGGCTGAAACACACACACACACACACACACACACACACACACACACACACACACACACACACACACACACACACACACACACACACACACACACACACACACACACACACACACACACACACACACACACACACACACACACACACACACACACACACACACACACACACACACACACACACACACACACACACACACACACACACACACACACACACACACACACACACACACACACACACACACACACACACACACACACACACACACACACACACACACACACACACACACACACACACACACACACTGTATTCCTATTTGTTTTCATTGTCTGACATTTGATATACCTGAGTACATTTATTCAGGTACAATTTTGAGGTACTTTTGATGCTTTATTTGTTGATTCCACTCCACTACATCTCTGAGGGAAACATTGTATTATTTTATCCCTCACAATCAATTCACAGCTTTATTTAATTTATACAGAATTACATTTCAATTATCAAGAGAACGGTTTCACTGGAAATTGGGTGTGGCGGTATTAATGACAGGAAGTGACGCAGCGCTGCTCTCATCTTTTAATGTGTGTTTTTTTACCTGCCCTGAAGGCGTCTCCGGAGCTCAGCCCGAGCAGAAGAGCCTTCAGCACCTCCTCGTCTGCAGGAGGCTGGGCTCTCTGCAGCCAGAAGCAGGTGACGCACACAGGGAGGCGCAGGGCGGGAGGCACAGGGGCCAAGGAGGCCTCAGGGACCCCCAGGGCCTCAAGGAGAACCTGCAGACGTAGAGAGGCCTCCGCCTGGGGGAGGAGGAGGAGATGTCCCCATTTAAAAAACATTAAAACTTGCTAACAAGTGTCTAAATGACACGACTCAACGTCATCACGCCCAACATTAGCCGCCATTAGCTTAGCGGTGGTGACGTGAAGTCATGTGACCGTGCTGTAGTTCCTTTATAGCCCAACATTAGCCGCCTTTAGCTTAGCGGTGGTAACGTGAAGTCATGTGACCGTGCTGTAGTTCCTTTATAGCCCAACATTAGTTTTTTACTTCAGAAATCTTAAAGTGGTGTTAGCATGTGGAGATTATCCTACTGAACTAAACATGTAAGTATCATAAACGTTTGTTACAGACATTCTTTTATGTCATAATCCAAAATCACATGGAGGTATCCCATTGGACCAGGGAGATGATTCCTTCAGGGTCCAACACAGAAATAACACATCACTCCATCACAGTATAAAGACATAAATACCAAATGTAAAGATGCACGAACCCACCTTATCCAGTGTTTGCAGTGAGAGCTGCAGGGAGCTTGCTGTGGAGGCGGTCTTCACAGGGATGAACCTCAGCTGCAGCCCCTCCCTAACTCGCTCTATCACCTCCCTGCCCTCGCCCAGCAGCAGCCCGTACATCACCTGCCGCAGCGGCCTGGCGGTAAGGTGAGCGCTTGGTGCGGCGGCGAGCTCCACGAAGACGCTGAATTTCATCTTCTGCAGCAGCAGCACGTCCAGGAATTCCGCCGGCAGCCAGGCCTGAATCAGAGGCAGCCGGGACCAGTCCGGGACACCAGCCACCTCCAGGGGGACAAAGTGAGGATACTTGTTAGAGGAGAAGGACTCACATCCTGTACTGGAGTTAAAGTAGAAGAACTCAGATCTTGTACTTGAGTACAAGTAGAAGTACTCATATCCTGTACTTGGGTAAAAGTAGAAGTACTCAGATCTTGTACTTGAGTAAAAGTAGAAGTACCAGAGTGTAGGAATACTCTGTTACAGTAAAAGTCCTGCATTCAAAATGTTACTGAAGTAAAAGTAGAACAAGTATTATCATCAAAATATAGTTAAAGTAGCAACATTTAAAGTAGTCATTGTGCAGAATAATATATATGATATGTTTTATAATCTTTGATGCATTAATGTGTTGTCAAAGCTGGTAAAGGTGCAGCTAGTTTTAATGACTTTGTATACTGCCCAACAGCTCTTCCCAGGTCCAAACAGCGCAGTAATCCCATGCATTATTTGGAAAAACTTTATTTGGCAAGAAACGGTCTATAAAGCTGATAGCAAAGTAATAGCTCTGAACGGAAGTTGGAACACAAAATAAGGCACACAAAATGTGGAAGCGACCTATATCAGGTGAAGAATGTAGGTGAATATTGAGTCTCTTTGGATGAAAGTTAAATGTTATATATTATCATTACTTCTGTGGAGAATGGAGGTGCTATCCCATGGATGAAGAACTTTTTGAGGGCGCTGGGAGGAAGTTGGTACTCCTCCATCCCCAGATTCAAGCCCTTCATCACCTCCGCCTTTTTGTTGCCGCTCAGTTCTCCCATCAGCCCCAGCGCCGCCTCGAAGGCCTCCTGAGGCTTCTGGAAGTTCTGCAGCCAGCACAGCAGCCCGTCCAGGTGGCCCATGTTCCCGCCGCCTGCCGGGGCGAACTGATTCCAGCTAACGTGCGCCTGCAGCCGGTGTAGATTCACGTAGTCGTTCCCGGCCAGGGCGGCGAAGGCGGGCAGGAGCTGGCGCTGGATTTTAAAGAAGATGCAGAAGCTCGAGGTGTTGTAGCTCTTGCAGGGGATGTAGCTGTTGGAGCCCCTCCGCACAACCATCTCCCACTGGAAGTGTGAGAGGGGCAGTAGTCCCACTGGAAGGTCGTAGATGTAGAAGTCGCTGTCTCCGGAAAGCACCGGGCACTGCCACTCCCGGGCCAGGGCGGCGATCTCCGGGTCAGCCTCTCCATAGCACTGAGCCACCTGGACGTCCAGCCGCCTCAGTGTCTGTCGGAACACCAGCTTCACCAGCGTCGGCATGATGTACTCGCGCTGGCCGCGCTGGCCGCGCTGGCCGCGCTGGCCGTCCTGCGCCGCTCGATGCGCTCGTTTGATCCGATCCACTGCTCTCTGCATCACGGTTTCATTCTTCTTTTCTAAGATGTCCGATCCTCCGTCCAGCACTATGTAGGGCGTGATCTGACAGTCTCTGAGCGCTTTAACAAACCTCTCAATAAGGGCCGCGAACGCAGTATACTCCCCGCCGTGATTCTGGTCCAGACCTGAGCAGTCAATAACAGGAAACACAAGGAACACATTGAACACATTGAACACAGCAATACGAAAGCTCTTTTCACACATGCTCTGCAAACCTTCTTTTCCTCTCAGGAAGTTTCTAGCTGAGGAATTGGCCCGGAAGTCTTTAAGCTGCAGCTATGATAAGAGAGTTCTTTAGATCATAGGAAAGGAGCCTCAATGCTTCCTTTATTATCTCTAGATGAGTTTACAGTAGTCCGTTCTTATTAAACATATGACCCGGAAGTACCTCAGTGGCCACCATGATAAGAGCTGTTTGAATTCTCTAGATGATAGGAAAGGAGGTTTGAAAATGCCTTGCGGCCGCAGCATTTGCCATCACACAACATTCGGCCGATTATAACCAAGAAATTATATCATGAAAGTTACGGTGCTTATTAAGAGGGGTGAGGTACTCAGATGAGTACCAGGAGTCAGTGTTTGGTACTCCAACTTCTGGCCCCATGTAAAGTTATGTGATGAAGCCCTGTGTCGCGAACGCCGCCGCCACCGCCGCCGGGGTGCTAGTGGGTGCAAATGTATTCATTATTGTATGAACATGTTTTAATTGGGGGGTGGACGTCACATCCATGTAGTCCGCTGTATAGAAAACTGTAGTTTTCCCCACAGCAGACGCGTATTAATGTCGTCCGCTGGCGCATCATAAACGTTGGATAGTGAAAGTGCAGTCGATTCTCAAAGCACCGCAGTCTCTTCTAAGCCCTTTTGAATTCTCCTCTCCACTATTCCTTAACCTCGTGACGTTTCACACAGAGGTCAAGGAATAGACGATAGGAATAGACGATAGTAGCTGATTTTTGGACTATTCTACTGCAGCCTGGGTCTTTCACTCTGCAGACTGTATGCTCTCTGTATGACTGACTGAACTTTCTTGCAAGAAATAAAATATGGCAAAGACAGCTGAATGGTTTGATTCTCTATCCACATTTGATAAATACATTCCCACCACAGGGACACTAAAAGGTGACGCACACAGCTGGGACCGGAGCGCTTGGTGACGTTCAGGATTATAAAGCTGAACAACTGTCTCTGTTGTTGGAAACTTACCTAAAATGTTTTATGGTCTTATTTTAAGAATGTGATCACATGACACCTTCTGATGTTACTGCAAATCTGCTGTAAACTAGCTAGCTAACGTAGCTAACCTAGTCATTTCAGATATACTGACAAACACTTACTTTTACTCAAGTGCAAGATCTGAGTACTGTTCTGTGTACTGCAGTACTCACCTGAGTTGACGTATAGCCAGTGGTAGAGGTTGCTGCCGTCGATCAGCAGCCAGCTGTGAGAGAGGCGGCGATCCCGGTAGATCCTCCGGTGTTTCTCCAGCAGAGTGGTCAGGCCTTGGACTCCCATCCTGGGCAGAGAGTTACGGAGGAGCCGGTGGGGGGGCTCCGCTCTTATAGGAGCTGCTGCACCTCCTCCCTCCCTCCCTTAAGTTTCACTTTCCTCACATCACAGCAGCTCCCAGTCTCTGCCTTCTCTCCACCGTGTTAAGCCATTATTTAAAAAATATTTAGTCTTTATTTCGAGATATTAAGTCATTATTTTGTAATATTAAGTCATTATTTTGTAATATAGGCTAAAGTTTTTATTTTGAAATATAAAGTTTTTATTTTGAAATATATAGTTTTTATTTTGTACTATAAAGTCTCTATTTTGTAATATAAAGTCTCTATTTTGTATTATTCATTCATTATTTTGAGATATTAACTCATGTTATTTAAAAAGTTCCTCATTTAAATGACTTACTTGTCTCCCTTGGCAGGATGTTTTTGTAAAGTTTGGAAACAGAAAGTGAAACTCAGGAAACATCTCGTTTTAACCATACAGTCTGGTTTGACCCCAAGTGGTCCTCTGGCAAGCGGGCACACGTCCTGGAACCACCTCGATGGAAAATGGGTCAAATCTGCTGCAGTGGGGCAGCTAAATAATTGTTGAATGTTTTGAAAGTTTTGATTAGATATGAACTCAACTGACAAAGCAATCCTACTCTTAATATGATTTATTTATTTAATGTATTATTTGATCAATAAATTAGTTTTAAGAGCTTTCGTTTACACATTTTCCATATATGTTGTGTCATGGGGACATACAGATTCGGCCTTTAATGGTCCAAGGGCAGGGCAGGTGAATACAACTATGCCATGAATGGAGGAGAGACGTTGGTATAATTATTACTATTCACCAAAACATTATTCAACAATGTTTAAACAAACTAACTCCATGTCCGGTTTTGCAAACTTTATTGTTGGTGTCAGAAATATACCATTTGTTGATTCCCTACCTGACCTGAGATCAGTCTCTATCTTCCCGCCACCCACCCTCACCTAATCACTTGCGTATCTGCCCGCTTCTCATTAACATATCGGCTAATTATGCAGCTGCACACCGGGAGGTTTCACAGGTTAAATCAAACGTCCCTCTCTCTGGGAGCAGCGTTTCAGGTGAGGAAGCAGCAGAGAAAGTGCAGTCCAACATGAGGCCAAACATGACTCTCGTAGTGCTGCTACTGCTAGCGGTGTGTTTCCTCGGTGTGTGTACACTCTCACATGTGGAGGAGATGAAGACCCAGGAGCGGATCTTCCTCGGCTCTCTGGGGCTCTCCGGGGTGCCTCAGCCGGCGGGGAGCCACCAATCCCGGCGCCATGTCCCCTCCGCGGTCTGGAGGATGTTCTGGAGGTCAGAGAACATGAAGGCCCGGGAGAGCGACCCCTGCACGGTGTCAGAGTAGGAGTCCGCGGCAAGTCAGTTGTTTTAAGGGGTCTTGCGGCACTATGAGAGGTATAAGAAGGTGTTTCAGGGGGATGCTAAAGGAAACCAGAGGACTTTTAGGGGTCCCAGCTGGATTCCACTTGTTCTTTCGATGTGGTTCCAGGTGTACTTTATTAAGGTATTTTAGGGACACTTGAGGTTGATTTTAGGGGAGGAATGGAGGAAAACATGCAGGGTCCAACAAAATCACAAGTTAGGGTTATTAAGGGTTCTTATGTTTGTTTCTCAAGGGGGTTTATGGTTGTTTTAATCACACTTTATGTGAGGGATAGGGTTGAGGGTTCTTTTATTTATTTATTTATTTAGTCTTTTGTGTCTACCATTATAATTTGGGAGTCAGTATATGTTGATCCTGCAGGGTCTTCTGGAGGATGAAAGTTTAGTCACATAAAAACACAATTTATAAACATAAAACAAAGTATTTAACATTTCCTTATTTATATCCTCCTTTATTACCTCATTGAGTGAACATAAAAACAATAAGACAAGCGAATCGTTTGGAAAAATAGAGATTTACATACATTTTCCTTTTGATGTGACAATAGTTTCTTTGCAGTTAAAATGTCTGAGTCTTACGAAAGATTACAACATTTGAAATAGTAAATAAAACATGCTGCTATAATTAAACAAACAAAAAGAAATACGCACAAAAACAGTCTGTGACTTAACTGTTGACTGATGGATGTCTTATTAACAATTAAAATAATAAACCTATTCATGGAGCAACTCAAAAAGCCTTTAAATTAAACTATATATGCCACACATTTAAACAAAGGCAAATCGACAATAACATTAATAATACAAAAGTAGATCAAACAATTGGTAAAAGTAAACCAAATAAACAGTCAATTGATAACAATAAAAAATAAGTAGAAGAGAAAGAATAAAAGAAGAATTTTAGTTATAAATACAAGTACAAGGGAGGCATGTGGCACAGTGGATTAGTGCGTTGGTGTTCGGATCAGGGGAGCACAGGTTCAAACCCCCACTGCAGTCAGCATGTCGTTGTGTCCCTGGGCAAGACGCTTCACCCCAAATTGCTCCTGTGGGGATTGCCCACAGTATTGAGTATGTAAGTCGCTTTGGATAAAAGCGTCTAACAAGTAACATGTAATGTAATAAAAGTAAACGAATGCACAAAAATGTCTCCAACAAACAGTCACTAAGAACGTACGTGAGGAACAAAGCGTTAACATTCATGAGACTAAAGAAACACAATTATCACGTTTTTTTAAATAACATGTTTACAGTGAATTCCACTTATTAAAACTCTTTTGTGTTTTCAATAACAATCGAACAGTGCATCACATTTTAAGGGCAAATAAGAAAAAACAAGTGCTGATCACCCTTAATTCAAAATATACAATCTTGAGGGCATAAAGAGACGAAGAAAGAAATGTGCAAAAAGGTGTAAAATGTGTGCAGATTTAAAAAAGGAAGTGCTTCTTGTTTCAGAGTAACGTAAATATTATGTATCAGACTGATGTGAGGGACGTTAACGAGAGTCTGATGAACCCGGCTTGTTTTCCTCCCTTGAGCTCAGAGCAGGTCCCGGTCGCGGCGCTCCTCTTTGCGGGCCAGCTCCGGGTTCTTGCTCCGGTTCTTCCTGTGTTTCGCTCTGAAACGAGTTTTCACTGACAGCAGCTCGCTGAGGCGCAGATTCTCCTGCACCCACCCCGAGCTGCTGGCCTCCTCCTCCTCCTCCTCCTCCTCCTCCTCCAGGGGGAAGAGCTGCTGCAGGGTGGAGGTCAGGTCGTCCAGAGGCTGCCTCTGCCGATCCTCCCCCGTCCTGTGGCTCTCTTGAGGGGGGATCTGGTGCACCACGGCCTGAATGGCTTCGAACAGCATCACACTGCAGGGGTCCTCCTTCAGGAAAGGCCTCTTCTTTCCCCCGTACCTCATCCTGTGCACCAGCTGGTGAACCAACGTCCCCTCAAACAACCTGAGGGATGGGTGGAGGTCAACTTAATATTTGTATTTCATTGCAAAAATGGTTTGGATACAACTAGAACATTAGGTGTGCCAAGAGAGGAGATGTAAATGGTCTACAAAGGCTAAACGCCTCCATTGGACTCCTTTGTTTACTACTGGAACTAAGGAAAGTCTCATCTGGAGAGTGGGGTCTCAGGTAGGACTAACCTGGAGAGGGGGGGCTGAGGAAGGACTCACCTGGAGAGGGGGGGTTCAGGTAGGACTCACCTGGAGAGGGGGGCCTCAGGTAGCGGTAGGCCCAGCAGCTGGTTGAGCTGCAGGCTGGACTTCAGGCAGGACTGCCACTGGTTCAGAGAGTGAGACACCTGCATGTCCAGCTTCTGTCTGGGGGGGGGCAGGGCTGAAACACACACAAACACACACACACACACACACACACACACACACACACACACACACACACACACACACACACACACACACACACACACACACACACACACACACACACACACACACCTGAGTCACAGGCTGTATTCCTATTTGTTTTCATTGTCTGACATTTGATATACCTGAGTACATTTATTCAGGTAACATTTTGAGGTACTTTTGATGCTTATTTGTTGGTTCCACTCCACTACATCTCTGAGGGAAACATTGTATTATTTTATCCCTCACAATCAATTCACAGCTTTATTTAATTTATACAGAATTACATTTGAATTATCAAGAGAACGGTTTCACTGGAAATTGGGCGTGGCGGTATTAATGACAGGAAGTGACGCAGCGCTGCTCTCATCTTTTAATGAGTGTGTGTGTTTTACCTCCCCTGAAGGCGTCTCCGGAGCTCAGCCCGAGCAGCAGAGCCTTCAGCACCTCCTCGTCTGCAGGAGGCTGGGCTCTCTGCAGCCAGAAGCAGGTGACACACACAGGGAGGCGCAGGGGGGGAGGCACGGGGGCCAGGGAGGCCTCAGGGACCCCCAGGGCCTCAAGGAGAACCTTCAGACGTAGAGAGGCGTCCGCCTGGGGGAGGAGGAAGAAATGTCCCCATTAAAAAACATTAACTTGCTAACAAGTGTCTAAATGACACGACTCAACGTCATCATGGCCAACATTAGCCGTCTTCAGCTTGGCGGTGGTGACGTGAAGTCATGTGACCGTGCTGTAGTTCCTTTATAGCCCAACATTAGCCGCCTTTAGCTTAGCTGTGGTGACGTGAAGTCATGTGACCGTGCTGTAGTTCCTTTATAGCCCAACATTAGCCGCCTTTAGCTTAGCGGTGGTGACGTGAAGTCATGTGACCGTGCTGTAGTTCCTTTATAGCCCAACATTAGCTTTTTACTTCAGAAATCTTAAAGTGGTGTTAGCATGTGGAGATTATCCTACTGAACTAAACGTGTAAGTATTATAAACGTTTGTTACAGACATTACTTTATGTCATAATCCAAAATCACATGGAGGTATCCCATTGGACCAGGGAGATGATTCCTTCAGGGTCCAACACAGAAATAACACGACATCACTCCACCACAGTATAAACACATAAATACCAAATGTAAAGATGCACAGACCCACCTTATCCAGTGTTTGCAGTGAGAGCTGCAGGGAGCTTGCTGTGGAGGCGGTCTTCACAGGGATGAACCTCAGCTGCAGCCCCTCCCTATCTCGCTCTATCACCTCCCTGCCCTCGCCCAGCAGCAGCCCGTACATCACCTGCCGCAGCGGCCTAGCGGTAAGGTGAGCGCTTGGTGCGGCGGCGAGATCCACGAAGACGCTGAAGCTCATCCTCTGCAGCAGCAGCACGTCCAGGATGACCGGCGATAGCCAGGCCTGAATCAGAGGCAGCCGGGACCAGTCCGGGACACCAGCCACCTCCAGGGGGACAAAGTGAGGATACTTGTTAGAGGAGAAGGACTCACATCCTGTACTGGAGTTAAAGTAGAAGTACTCAGATCTTGTACTTGAGTCAAATAGAAGTACTCAGATCTTGTACTTGAGTAAAAGTAGAAGTACTCAGATCATGTATTTGAGTAAAGGTAGAAGTACTCAGATCTTGTACTTGAGTAAAAGTAGAAGTACTCAGATCCTGTACTTGGGTAAAAGTAGAAATACTAAGATCCTGTACTTGAGTAAAAGTAGAAGTACTCAGATCATGTATTTGAGTAAAGATAGAAGTACTCAGATATTTTACTTTAGTAAAAGTAGAAGTACCAGAGTGTAGGAATACTCTGTTAGAGTAAAAGTCCTGCATTCAAAATGTTACTGAAGTAAAATTAGGAAAGTATGATCATCAACATATAGTTAAAGTAGCCAAAGTAAAAGTAATCATTGTGCAGATTGGTCCATTTCAGAATAATATATATGATATGTTTTATAATCTTTGATGCATTAAAGTGTTGTCAAAGCTGGTAAAGGTGCAGCTAGTTTTAATGACTTTGTATACTGCCCAACAGCTCTTCCCAGGTCCAAACAGTGCAGTAATCCCCAGATATGCATTATTTGGAAAAACTGTTTATTTGGCAAGAAACGGTCTATAAAGCTGATAGCAAAGTAATAGCTCTTGAACGGAAGTTGGAACACAAAATAAGGCACACAAAATGGGAAGCGACCTATATCAGGTGAAGAATGGAGGTGAATATTGAGTCTCTTTGGATGAAAGTTAAATGTTATCATTACTTCTGTGGAGAATGGAGGTGCTATCCCATGGGTGAAGAACTTCTTGAGGGCGCTGGGAGGAAGTTGGTACTCCTCCATCCCCAGATTCAAGCCCTTCATCACCTCCGCCTTTTTGTTGCCGCTCAGTTCTCCCATCAGCCCCAGCGCCGCCTCGAAGGCCTCCTGAGGCTTCTGGAAGTTCTGCAGCCAGCACAGCAGCCCCTCCATGCGGCCCGTGTTCCCGCCGCCTGCCGGGGCGAACTGATTCCAGCTGACGCCCGCCTGCAGCCGGTGTGGCTTCACGTAGTCGTTCCCAGCCAGGGCGGCGAAGGCGGGCAGGAGCTGGCGCTGGATTTTAAAGTAGATGCAGAAGCTGGAGGTGTAGTAGCTCTTGCAGGAGATATAGCTGTTGGAGCCCCTCCGCTCAACCGCCTCCCACTGGAAGTCTGAGAGGGGCAGCAGCCCCACCGGAAGGTCGTAGATGTAGAAGTCGCTGTCTCCGGAAAGCACCGGGCACTGCCACTCCCGGGCCAGGGCGGCGATCTCCGGGTCAGTCTCTCCATAGCACTGAGCCACCTGGACGTCCAGCCGCCTCAGCGTCTGTCGGAACACCAGCTTCACCAGCGTCGGCAGGATGTCCTTGCGCTGGCCGTCCTTCGCCGCTCGATGCGCCCGTTTGATCCGATCCACTGCTCTTTTCTTCACGGTTTCATTCTTCTTTTCTGAGATGTCCGATCCACCGTCCAGCACTATGTAGGGCGTGATCTGACAGTCTCTGAGCACTTTAACAAACCTCTCAATAAGGGCCGCGAACGCAGCATACTCCCCGCCGTGATTCTGGTCCAGACCTGAGCAGTCAATAACAGGAAACACAAGGAACACATTGAACACAGCAATACGAAAGCTCTTTTCACACATGCTCTGCAAATGTTCTTTTCCTCTCAGGAAGTTTTCTAGCTGAGGAATTGACCCGGAAGTCTCTAAGCTGCAGCTATGATAAGAGAGTTCTTTATATGATAGGGAAGGAGCCTCAATGCTTCCTTTATTATCTCCTTTAGGATACACCATCCTTTAGGAAAGGAGAAGAGATTATGCTGTCCCACAATTCCATGCACTAACCAAACATAACCATTCACAGAAACAACCAAACGCAGATCGTGTAAGTTACGCTGCTTATTGAACCACATCTTATAACTAACTAAGGTTCCTAACGGAGTTAAATGACCCGGAAGAACCTCAGTGGCAGCCATGATAAGAGCCGTTCGAAACAACTGAATTTCTTCACGGGGATTAATAAAGGTCCATGTAGCGGCTAAGCCAACGCTTTAAGCCTCTGAGGATCCGCTATGTTGGCGTAATTGACCCACACAAAGTTTGCTAGGTGAATAAAAGTTCGATACAAAGTTTCCAGTTAAATACAGTCAATTTATTTCCTGTTCACTGGTGTCCATTTAACTTGCTTTATTTTCTCATTCACCATACACAATATTACGGTTCACACAATACCTTTTGCAAATGTTTGTAATCCCGTGTTTGTGTGTGCTCCGTGTGTGTGTGTGGTCAAAAACTGTATGGCCTTCCGGCGGAACCTCTAACCACAAACATAGGTTCCTACCTTTATACCCACAGTGTTAATTGGCTCCTACAGTCCATATTATCTTATCTTAAAGGAGGTTTGAAACTTCCTTTACAACTTATGTGGTAATGTGCAAAAGTGCTTTGTTTTGAATGTCCAACACTATAATAATCAAAAGGAGAAATTTGAACATTTTGAACAAAAGTCAACATTTCATAGTGTTTACTGAGCTGTGTGGGGTTTCTTAAACTTTACACATGTTTAAATGGTGATATACACAGTGATAGGTTAAGGCCTAACAAGTTTATAATACATACATTTGTATTTATTTTAATATATTTTCATACAATCATCATACGTATTGGGATCATGTGGATTAATATGTTTGGACCGGAGGGAAAGGGTGACAAGCATAAGTTTCACTTTAATTTCAATTCCAACCTTGCTCATGAAGAATAAAAGTTTCTCTGTTGTCCACGTTCATAAAGCATAAAACAACACCATGAGAGCACGGTGCATAGTATCTAGATGCGTTTACAGTAGTCCGCCGTTCTTATTATCATGGGCAGCACCAGGATTTTTTTGCTGCAGTAGCTTAGCAGTTGCTATATGACAGCACGGTGTTGCTAGTTAATTTTCTAAATAAATAAACAAACAATACCAGTGGGCCAAGCACGAGCCTGTTCATATTGTAGCGTTCACCGCTATTCAAGATCACAGATCACGAGCCTTCAATGTCGAAAACGTTCTCTTTATTTTCTGGTATTGACGGCCACAGCCACGCCTTACAGAACCAATCAATAGTATAACACTCATGACTTTTCCCCACACTCTAACACAACTCCTACCGTCTCGTACTCCCTCCACACATACCGGAAAACGCACACACACACCTGGAAGGGGCGGTCTCTCCCTAACTCCCACCAACAACATTGCCTAAATAACTTTACAAATGTATGAAACTGTGCACATCTGATAACTGAAATAACTATTAACTTGGACACGCTACAATATTATCATTAATATTTACATTAAAACATTCCTTTGACACTTATAACATTACTTTGCAAGGTAAGCACAACCAAAATAAGTTTGTAAAAGCAGAATTTGAATCCTACAATATTTGTGTATAATACCATTACACCCTAAGCGTACAAGTACACAATAGCGATCGTTCACTGTTTCAACTGGCATGCTGTGGCATTTAACCTCATCACCACACCGCAAACAGACTGACACACAAACACACACACAGGGTTGTCCGGCTGGACCGGCTCCGTTGGAGATCGCGGTCGTTTACGCTGACTTGTAAGAAATCTTTCAATTTTTTCGATCTGTGTTCACACACTGAGAATTATAACAACATTAGCTAAGTAACAGTTCGCGCTTTAACTTACAACGACCCCTGATAGATCTCGCGAGAATGTGTATAAATATATATAGATGCATTTTCATAACAAAACAATGGGGTTGCTAAGCCGTTGCTAGGCCAATTGTTGGAGTTGCTATAGCAACTCCAAGCTACCCCCTGGCGCCGCCCCTGCTTATTATACATCCATGTAGTGCGCTGTATAAAAAAATGTGGTTTCCCCAAAGCAGAAGCACATTTATGAGGTTCGCTGGCGCATCATAAATACGTCGACAGTGTAAGTGCGGTCGGATTCTCAAAGCACTGCAGTCTCTTTTCCAAAGTCCTTTTGAATTCTCCTATCTACTATTCCTTAACCCCGTGACGTTTCACACAGTGGTCAAGGAATAGTGGATAGGAAAAGACGATAGGAGCACATTTTTGGACAATTCGACTGCTACCCAGGGGACACTAAAAAGTGACGCACACAGCAGGGAGACCAGGGGTGTTTCTGAGGGTGTTTCTCAATGTCGAGGAGGCTTGCTTGGTAGCACATGTACCTCCGAGTCAGTTGCTTCAGAAGCGAGGCAAGAATCCTTCCTAGCCTCGGAAAATGAAGAATTGTGGAACAAGCTAATAGGTATGCAGGTGTGCGTCATATGCGAGGCCCTGCCTTAAATGGAGCGCGATTTCCGCCAAAGACTTGCAAATTGGTCCGTGCGCAAAGCATTGTGGGGATTTTAAGACCGCGGAGTCTACACATGTGCAGCCTCGCAATTTCCCGCAACGAAGTACGCCGGCCTCGGTATAATTCCAAGTATCCTGGATATTGGAACAGTCCTTCGGCGGCACTCGATGACGTAGTATCCTTGAAATAGTGGCTCTGGAGCAGCTTTCCTCGACATTGAGAAACACCCCAGGGGACACTAATGTTAATACCCGATTTGCATGTTTGCCCGATTTGCAAGTGCAAATTGGTCTGCCATATTGGACAGCTACGTACGGCAATCCAAACAGGACATTTGACGTCAGTACTGATCTAATAACAGAGCTTTGTTCTTGAATCAACTTTTTTTATGAAAAGTCATTTCCCTTTTCCAGGAATCTCAACAGAAAAGGTTTGTCCAGACTAATACATTTCTAATGTTAAATAAATGAAAACAATTCACAGTTAAGAATTAGATATGAATTATGAATGCCATAAATGATCCATACATGTACAGTTTCTTATTTTTCCAGTGTAAAGGCTGTCAAACAGAAGCTAAATCCATTTCTCACTTATTCTAAGAATGTACTTAACCCACTAAAAGGATTTATTCTCAAATAATCGGGAAATTATTTTGTAAAATCAATAACTCATCTCTCTTGTTTAGATTAATGTGGTTGTTTTTTTTTCTTCTTTGTGAAACGCCGCTTTGTCAAAAGTCCTGTTTGGATTGCCGTACGTAGCTGTCCAATAAGGCCAGACCAACTCGCGCTTGCGCAGTGCAAATCGGGCAGACACAACTAAAAAGTGACGCACACAGCTGGGACCAGAGCGCTTGGTGACGTTCAGGATTATAAAGCTGAACAACTGTCTCTGTTGTTGGAAACTTACCTAAAGCGTTTTATGGTCTTAATTTAACACATCAACTTCCCGACGCGCGGGAGAAACATACTGGACCATGTTTATTCCCCTTTCCGGAATGGATATAAGGCTCTTCCTCGCCCTCCCTTCGGCAAATCAGACCATATCTCACTACTGTTGTTGCCTGCGTACAAGCAGAAACTTAAAAGGGACAGACCGGTAACAAGGACAGTACAACGATGGAGCGTGGAGTCAGATGAGGCACTGCAGGACTGCTTTGCATCCACGGATTGGAGTGTGTTTGAGGACAATAACATCAACACACACACGGACACTGTCATCTGCTACATTGGGAAATGCATCGATGACGTGGTACCGAAGGTTTCTGTACGGACATTCCCAAATCAAAAGCCCTGGGTAAACGGTGAGGTGCGCGGCAAACTGAAAGCGCGCACTCTCGCGCACACAGCGGGAGATTTGGAGGAGTACAGGAAGTCTAGGTATGATCTCCGGAGAGCAATTAAAAATGCAAAGAGACAGTACAAAGACAAGGTGGAATCTGACTTCAAAGGCTGTAACACTAGGAATATGTGGGCGGGACTAAGGACAATGACTGACTACAAAGGAGCAGCGGGGGGTGCTGCGGGAGTGTCTGCGTGCGCATCTCTCCCAGATGAGCTAAACAGTTTTTTTGCACGCTTTGAGAGCAGCCAGGCTGTGGAGGTACAGAGGGACCAGGAGCTACACTGCCCTTTTGTTTTAAATAGGGCAGATGTGTGTAAATCCTTTAAAAGGGTTAACCCACACAAGGCTCCTGGACCTGATGGCATCCCTGGCCGTGTTCTCAGGGTGTGTGCAGTTCAGCTGGCAGAGGTGTTCACAGACATCTTCAACAGGTCCCTGCTGCAGTCTGTAGTCCCCACATGTTTTAAACACTCCACCATCATTCCTGTCCCCAAAAAGACAATCATCACCTGCCCCAACGACTACCGCCCAGTAGCACTCACCTCCATCATAATGAAGTGCTTTGAGCGGTTAGTCAAATTATTCATCACCTCCTCCCTCCCTGAATCTCTGGACCCCCTGCAGTTTGCCTACAGAGCAAACAGGTCCACAGACGACGCCATAGCCCTCACCCTCCACACTGCCCTCTCACACCTGGACCCGAAGAACAGGAACACATATGTGAGAATGCTGTTCATTGACTACAGTTCAGCATTCAATACCATTGTGCCCTCCAAGCTGGCCATCAAGCTCAGAGACCTCGGGCTCAACAGCGCCCTCTGTGACTGGATCCTGAACTTCCTGACGGGCAGACCCCAGGCAGTGCGGGTGGGAAATATCACATCCTCCACCCTGATTCTCAACACCGGTGCCCCTCAAGGCTGCGTGCTCAGCCCTCTCCTCTACTCCCTGTTCACCCACGACTGCGTGGCCACACACAGCTCCAACACCATCGTGAAGTTTGCTGATGACACGACCGTCATCGGCCAGATCACAGACGATGACGAGACGGCGTACAGAGAGGAGGTCGAAAACCTGACATCTTGGTGCCAGGATAACAACCTCCATCTCAACATCAGCAAAACAAAGGAGCTGATTGTGGACTACAGGAAGCAGCAGGGAGAGGGACACGCCCCCATCGCCATCAATGGGACTACGGTGGAGAGAGTCAAAAGCTTCAGGTTCCTTGGGGTCCACATCACTGAGGACCTGACATGGTCTCTTCACACCACCACCATCACCAAGAAAGCTCGACAGCGGCTCTTCTTCCTCCGCAGGTTGAGGAGGTTCAAAATGGATTCCAGGATACTCTGCAACTTCTACAGGTGCACGATAGAGAGTATCCTGACTGGCAGCATGACGGCCTGGTACGGCAGCTGCACCGACCTCGATCGTAAGGCTTTACAGAGGGTGGTGAAAACTGCACAGCACATCACCAGGACGGAGCTGCCATCCATGGAGGACCTTTACTCCCAGCGGCTCACGAAGAAATCACTACGGATTATCAAAGACCCCCATCACCCCAGTCACAAACTGTTCTTTCTGTTGCCGTCTGG